AGAGGATGAAGAAGAAGAAGAGGATGAGGATGAAGAAGAGGATGAAGAAGAAGAGGAAGAAGAGGATGAGGATGAAGAAGAAGAAGATGAGGATGAGGATGAGGAAGAAGAAGAGGATGAGGAAGAAGAAGAGGATGAGGAAGAAGAAGAGGATGAGGATGAGGAAGAAGAAGAAGAAGAAGAAGAAGAGGATGAGGATGAGGATGAAGAAGAAGAAGAAGAAGAGGATGAGGATGAAGAAGAAGAAGAAGAGGAGGAGGAGGATGATGAAGAAGAAGAAGAGGATGAGGATGAAGAAGAGGAAGAAGAAGAAGAGGATATGAGGATGAAGAAGAAGAAGAGGAGGAGGAGGATGATGAAGAAGAAGAGGATGAGGATGAAGAAAAAGAAGAAGAAGATGAGGATGAAGAAGAAGAAGAAGATGAGGATGAAGAAGAAGAGGATGAGGAAGAAGAAGAGGATGAGGAAGAAGAAGAAGAAGAGGATGATGATGATGAAGAAGAAGAGGATGAAGATGAGGAAGAAGAAGAAGAAGAAGGAGGAGGAGGAGGATGATGATGAAGAAGAAGAAGAGGATGAGGATGAAGAAGAAGAAGAGGATGAGTATGAAGAAGAAGAGGATGGGGATGAAGAAGAGGATGAGGATGAAGATGATGAAGAAGAAGAGGATGAGGATGATGAAGAAGAAGAGGATGAGGATGAAGAAGAAGAAGAAGAAGAAGAGGATGAGGATGATGATTTTAGGATGAAAATAAGAAGAATTCCAGTCCAGCAAAAAGTGTCTCTGCAGAGAGCTCCGCTATTTCTGACAGTTCTCTGACAGTTCCTTGACATTTACAGCGGTTGAAACATTGTATCTATTTGTTTCCGAATAAAAACATCTGTATCCTAAATGGAAACAAATAGATACATTGTTGCAACTTCTATAAATGTCAAGGAACTGTCAAAGAACTGTCAAAGAAATAGCAGAGCTCTCTGCAGGGACACAAGACGGGTAGAAAATCGGCCGATTTTTTTTTACCATTGATGGTAACGTCGGCCACTTGAACAACCGATTTTTCGTTTTTTAAAAGAAAAATCTGCAGTTTTTCTCCCCATCTATGGCCTGCATAACAGATCTATAATTACTTGGTAAAGATTTTGACCCCTTTTTAAATATTGGCACCACACTGGCCTTACGCCAATCCAGTGGTACTATGGCAGTCATTAAAGAGTCCCTAAAAATGAGAAACAATGGCTTTGAAATGACATAGCTCTATTCTTTAAGGACCCGTGGGTGTATGCCATCCGATCCAGGTGCTTTATTCACCTTTATACTGTCTAAATATTTTGGATATCAATTGTGAGCCAATGTGGATCATCTGGAGCTGTGTCAATACCATGCTCATTATGGACAAGAGCTCCCCTATGCCCCTTGTATACACAGAGCTGAAGAAGGTATTTAATACATTTGCCTTCTCTTTGTTCCCAGTCACCCACTCTAGATTATTTTGTAAAGGGCCTACATGCTCAGACCGGACCTTTTTTACTATTAATATATTTCAAGATTTTTTTGGGTTGGTCCTGTTATCTTTTGCAATCTGTCATTTGTTTTCAATTGTTGCAGCCTTTATTTCTTTTTTGCATATTCTGTTGTATTCTTTGTAATGTTTAAACGATAATAGTGTCCCTTCATTTAATATATTAATATATTATATTTAATAAAAGCTCTTTTCTTATTATCTATAGCTTTTTTAACTTTGGCCGTCTGTATGTATGTATGTATTCATAGAATCAAACAACTGGCAGTGAGGAAATTTGAGAGTTCCTCTTGTTTTTGAGCCAAAGAACTTACCGTTACTCCCTACAAGTGCTCCCCAGGTCACCTACATTAATATGTACTCTGCACAATTTTGAGGCTTATTAGCATCTTTTTTATTATGTTAAACCTAACTAAACAAAAAAACTTACTTTAAAACTTTGGAATCAAGATGATTACTTCAGTACTTCAGCTAACTATCTTGAAACAATGTTCATTGGGGAAAATAGTCTGCAGCTTGAGATTGCTTCCACTGCAATTAATTCTTTTTATTACTTGTGCATACAATTCTGACATACCCAGCACCACAAAAAAAGCAGTTGCCTGTAACTATGGATCTCAGATAGCATAGGGAAATGCTAAAAACCTCTGTCAGGTTTTTATTGATGTATGGCCTCTCTACTACCTAAAGTAATTTCCACTCAATTACTGTATCTCTGGTAGAGGAGCTTAAGAAAACCTTCTCAACATGACACAGACAATAAAACAGAACTGACAAGGACATTTAACCATTCACTACCCTATCTAAAATTATTTATCTTTAGTTATCCTTTAAAGGGACACTAAACACTGGTTTAAAAGCATTCTATTTGAGTCTGTATTCTTAACTCAAAAAAGTCCCTTCTATTGCTCTCTCCCTACTTCAAATCTTCAGATTTCTGTTTTTGCTGCTGTGCGATTTCCTTTTAGAGGGTGACTACGTTTGTTCTCCATGGTCCACTGTATGTAGGAACAAAGCCATCCTCTCTTGCTCACTTCCAAGATGGACTAAGGACTAAAGACCATGGGATTTGTAGTGTGCATAGAGCAGTGTACATGACCAAAGCTAACGCTCACTGAACGTTCCAAACAAACAAAAGTGAAGCAAAAAACAGAAGACAGAAAAACACAGTAAGAAACAATTTCAGGAAAAACAGATGACAGGACAATTTAATAGTAGATGTGTATGGATTATTTTTGGAGAATAAGGATGTCACTTTAGGTGTGTGCATCCCATACACTGCATTGTCCTACTCCATTACTGTGCACACAAATACTGGTTCTATCAGTGTTACAGGGGACTATTTACATTTCTTGTCAGTGAATAATGAAGCATGTGGTTCTTTGATAAGTCAATAAACAAATGAACTGGAAAAACTTGGTGAAAGTGAACAGCACATTGACTTTGTTTACAGGTAACATTTACATACTAGAACTAAATATCTAGACATTAACAAATAATTAAAGGTTCTTTCCTAAAAATGTGCCATAGGACCAGGGGCAGACTGACAACTCATGGGGCCCCCAGGCAATAGGGGATCATGGGGCCTCTGTGTCCTTGCCCAAACTCAAAAAAGCCTATGAAAAAGGTACCAGGGGCATCTCATGGGGCCCCCTATTGACCCCGGGCCCTCGGGCAGTGCCCGAGTTTCCAAACGGTCAGTCCACCCCTGCATAGGCCCCTAAGGTTGTGTTGGGTTCAGCATTGATGACAATGTGTAACTTAGGTTTAACAGGAGACTTCCTTAGTTTTAATTTAGGATGGTATGCTGAGATACCAATGTGACAGTGTCTGGCAGACCCATACAGAATCTTCCACTCTCCTGCATAAATACCAGCTGTTAGATCACTTTCAGACAAAAGTCATATTTCTGTTGGGAACAGATCATCCTGATCTGCCAAAAGAACCAACACCTCCAATACTAAACCTTAACCTTTTGTTACTAATAACAGAATTCTAATTCCCAGAGCATCACGTTTTCCAAAAATACGCAGCCTGCGCTCAGTTATATATTTTCTGGTTAATGACCCACAAATGACAACTTCATTGCTCTAGTTCTTACTGAGGCCCCCATACAGAGAATCTGAACTCCTAACACATGTGATAATATGTCTGGTCACCTGCACCTTCGTTGTTTCATGGCAAGTGGACCATGTTAATTGATTTGAATTGTATCTCTGTTGGAATGAAATTTTTAACATTGTTCTGACAGAGTGTGCAGAGTTCAATTAGAGCTCTCTGATATTGTGAAAATATTCACACATATGGAAAAAACTGGTGGAGCTTGTACAAAGAAGCATCATCAATTCTATGTGCCTCAGACAGCAAAGACTCTAAATATGGCCTTACTATAGTGTGATGACTTTTCTCTTAATCATCTAGTCATTACTACATGATATTCTTAGGCTCCATGCACACTAGTGTTTTTTTAAGCTCAAAAAATGCTGGATAAAAAAACGGTGGTAATATTGTAGCTTTTTAGTAGCGTTTAGGAAAGGTAGCGTATTTACAGTACATGTAGAAAAAAGAAGCTACAAAAAAGCTGTTAAGAAAGTTTTAGGAGTATTTAGCATTTTTTTCTGCTGGAAAAATGTTCCAAAAAGCTCTACAAAAACAATTTTGTTTAGGCTCTTAGACGCAGAAGCTCAAAAAACACTAATAGCCTGAAGTAGTGTGCATGGACACATAGGATAACACTGTTTAGCTTCTAGGAGCAGAAAATACATGCTAATAACAGCTTCTAGGAGCTTAAAAAATGATAGTGTGCATGGAGCCTTATTGTTACCTTTGGGACTGAAGCTGGCCTTACACATGTCTTTCATGTTTCATATCAGAGTTTCTGTCAGGAGCATGTAGCGCTCCTGTTCCATCACAGTTCCTGGTTTTATTCCAGCATCCTGTTTTTGGCTGTAATGCACTCTCCTTGTCTGCCTGTCCACCTGCAAGGTGAATGATGTTGCCAGTCTCTGGGTAGAGACCAAACCTGATTTAAGCCAGCCAAACCTGCAGTTTCATGCTTGTGATATTGCATTTGTAACACATGCTCCAAGCTCCATGTTTGTCTGCCCTGCCTGCTAGTTTGGATTCCCTAATTGATGACCTTGGATCGGATATCAACTACTCTCTCAACTCTGCCTGCCTTTTGTTTATGGATTTGACCCTGACAATTCTGAACCTTGACTGCTTTGTATGTGGACTGTCATTGAATCACTCTGCCTGTTTGCCAACCGCAAGCACCTGTTTGCTGTGCTGAGTTTATGCCTGCCCTGGTGTGGTGGCCAGGCACTATAGCATTGTGTATATATCCTGCGGGCAACCAAGTACTGATAGGCCAGCTTGCCTTATGGGAAAGGGGGCTGCTTTAGGTGAAGAACACAGAAACCAGATATAGTGTCTAAACCTGCATTAGGGGTAGGCATAGCACTTTACGAGTATTCTTACCTGCTGGGGGCCAAGCCTTAATATATCCGGTACAGTGGACAACAGAATACTGCGCTTCACCTTCTTTCACTGGTCCCAGGCCATTCCTATAAATGATGACAGAGTGGTATGTACTAAGAAATAAAAAATGCCTTTACAAACAACATGGAAGGAAAAAAACAAGTAGAATGCAGCTAAGAATGGTTCCATGTCATGAAATTACGATTATGCATAAGGCATTATTAGTTACAGCTCAGAAGTATACTTATAATAAGATAGCGTATGTACTCTCCAGCGCCTCAGGATATGCACAGCCAAAAGGGAAGCCAAGGGTACCAGGACAGCGACAACCAAAAGGAAATGTTCCAGGGGTGCAGCCCTCCTCAGACGGGGAAATCAGCCACTGGATAGAGAGAAAACAGGTGGCGCACACACCTAGTGCATTATCCAAGGTTTATTGTAGGAATTAAATCATAAAAACATACTCACAGATGAAGCATGTATCTAAAAAGCATAGAAAAATGAGAATGGCCACAACGGCGGGCAAGGTGTTCTCACAGTCAGTGCGGTCAAATGGCTGACGTGTTTCGGGGACGAATCCCTTTCCTCAGAGCTGATGACCAACCTCTGATGCTGATGCACGATGAATGGAAAGTAAAGTAAGAGCCTCGCTGTTGAGGCATCAACAGCGAGGTTCTTACTTTACTTTCCATTCATCGTGCACTGACTGTGAGAACACCTTGCCCGCCGTTGTGGCCATTGTCATTTTTCTATGCTTTTTAGATACATGCTTCGTCTGTGAGTATGTTTTTATGATTTAATTCCTACAATAAACCTTGGATAATGCACTAGGTGTGTGCGCCACCTGTTTTCTCTCTATACTTATAATAACTATAATGTATGTCTCTCTCTAAGATGAAGATCAAAACATTTCTTGAATTAACTGCAGATTTATATGACTTTCAACCAAGCAGTCCTACAAAAGTCCTCATTTCACAGCCATCTCCATGGTACATTTGTAAGAAGTCCTCTCTCACGGTGTTATGACCAGCTGACTCATCAACAAAAATCACTAACAAATCTCTCAAGCAAAAGTGGAGGTCAATTATACAACCCCAGTTTCAAAAAAGTTGGGATGCTGTGTAAAATCAGAATGCAATAATCTGAGAATTTGATAAACCCATGTTTTATTCACAATAGAAAACATCTAATGTTTAACCTGAGAAAAAGTACAATTTTAGGGAATAAAAGGTAATTTTAAAATTGATGGGGGCTACACATCTCAAAAAAGTTGGGAAAGGGCTACATAAAGCTGACAAAGTACAGCTCCAATTTCTAAAAAGTTGGAATCAGGGATATGTTCACCATGGTGTAGCATCCCCTCTTCTTTTAACAACACTCTATAAACATCTGGGAACTGAGGAGACCAGCTGCTGGAGGTTTGGGAAAAGAATGTTGTTCCATTCTTGACTGAGTCTATGCTGCTCTAAAACCTGGATATATCTTTCAGCATTGATGGTGTCTTTCCAGATGTGCAAGCTGCCCATTCCATACACCCTAATGCAATCCATACCATCAGAAATGCAGGCTTTTGAACTGAGCGCTGATAATAAGCCAGTAGGTCCAGTGAACACGTGCCCATGGCTGCCATATTAATACTTGTAGACCACAGAACAGTTTTCCACATTGCAACAGACCATTTTAAATGAACTTTGTCCCAGAGAAGACAGCGATGTTTCAGGATCATGTTCAGATATGGCTTCTTCTTTGCATGATCTTGAAGAGCTTTAACTTGAATTTTGGATGGTTCGGTGAACTGTGTTTACAAACAGTAATATTTGGAATTATTCTTAATCCCATGCAGTGATGTCCATCACAGAATCATGCCTCTTTTTAATGCAGTGCCATCTGAGAGCCCGAAGATTACGGTTTGAGATTTCTCCAGCTTCTTGAAATCTTTTGATGGTATTATGTACTGTAGATGATGATATATTTAAAGTCTTTGCAATTTTAGGGTGAGAAACATTCTAAAATTGTTTTCACAGGCTGCTAAATCTTTGCGCATCTTTACTTCTGAGACAATCTGACTCTCTAAGATGCTCTTTTTATACCAAGTCATGTTACTGCCTGTTGCTAATCAACCTAATTAGTTGTAAATTGTAAATCTTCCAGCTCTCCCTTGTTAGTACCACTTACTTTGCTAGCTTTTTGTTGCCCTGTCCCAACTTTATTGAGATGTGTTGCTGCCATCAATTTCAAAATTACCTTGTTTTTTTTTCTCAAAAATGGTACATTATCTCAGGTTAAACATTTGATATGTTGTCTATTTTCTTATGTGAATAAAATATTGGGTTTATGAGATTTGCAAGTCATTGCATTCTGTTTTATGTAGATTTTACAAAGCATCCCAACCTTTTTGGAATTTGGGTTTTAAAAAGGAAGACAAGCACAAATGAAACATATAGATAGCTGACTCCCGAACAATGTCTTACATGTGTTTTCTTGGTACCAGACAAAGAATCATCAAACAAACCGTAAGAAGCCTGGTCATATTATTCTATAATATTAAAAAAAAAAATAAGCAAGTCACTAAGGCCCCTTTCGGACCTGCCAGCAGATCCCTTTCCTCAGTGGGGGATCTCTCTGCTAAGCGGATGACAGGTCTGTGTCCACTCCACTGCTGCAGAGCCAGAGCGGACACAGACACAGCCTGCTTTTTCCAATGGGGTGGTTGGAAGGAAATGGACCACCTCTCCATTTCCATCTGACTGTCATCCGATCCGCTGGATGCATGGGAAATGGATCCCCATGCGTCTGTTTTTAACGTACAGGAATGGATACGGGTCAATAGAGGTCTATGGATGGTCTGATCGAGTCGGCCTGAAAAACTGAGAGGCGGAACCTATTAAACCGTCAGTGAAAAAGGGGCCTAAAGGCAAAATGTTTTTTTTTTGCTTTGGATAGGGTGGAAAGGGAGTAGAACACCTACCAAGTTTTTATTGCTGTCTATGCCCCTCTTAATGAGATTTATCCTCTCTATTTGTCCTGTTTAGCATTAAAAGTGAAAGTAAAAGAAAATCCCACATTTTAGCTGGTTCCTAGAACAGTAATAGGAAATCTTTAATTTGGAACACTAATGCTGGAGACCCTGGTGACCGTGGTGACCCCCCGGGTTTCCATCAATGTGAAGGAAATTTCTCTCACTTCCTGTTTTGGCTATGGGACAGGAAGTGAAATATTCCCTATGGGACACAGGTGTGGAAAAAATCTCCCTTACTCTATCTAAAATGAAAGAAATAACTGGACTGGGCATGGAATTTACATTAAAGTGGTATTAAACCCAAATACAAAAAAAAAAAAAATTGCAGTTGAAGTTTCCTTTTTAGGCTTTTTTCCTTTATTTTCACTTGGTGATCTGGCCAGTAAGTTTGCTGATTTTCAACTTCCTTTAACAGGCCAAGCTATCCAGCAAAAGTGGCAGGTAGAGAGTTGAGACAAACCATTTACTACTGAAAGAGGTGCTTACAATGGTCAACTTTTATTCATGTATGTAAGACCTTTATTCCAAAAGAAAAAACAAAACAAAAAACTATTGCTTTAAGTTCTTAAAAAGTGTTAGCTGGAGTTCAGCTTTAATTTTTTAGTCAAGTCATTCTAACACTACCCTCTTCCCATATTCACATTGCTGCTGTCCTATGGTGTCTCTGTTACTCCTCTGTCCAGAGTGGAGACACCTTAAGACAGGAAATGTGTTGGCTGGATCCACAGGTGAAAAAGCCTAAAAAAAGAAAACTTCCGCAGCCCACCACAGTTAAGAACTGGCAAATTGCAATATATTACATTTTTGTTTTGGGGTTTAATACCACTTTATGAAGATAAAGTTTTGTTCAAAACAGATCTCAAGACCCTTAGTAATGCAAGTCTTCAATTCTTCCCACTGTGGAACCATTGCAACATATAACTTACCTGTACCTCTTCCTCATTGTGGTGATTCTGCTGAGTGGTAGATGATCCAGAGGAGCGTTACCACATCTACAGGAACACACATTTACTGGAGTTAAATAAATCAACGATAGCAGTTTTAAGTATTAAAACATCTTAGATATCATCTAATTAACATACCAATAAACATTGTTATTTTACTGTCAGAGAAACCAGCAAGATGTGAATTGTATATTCAGAAAAAAATCACGCGTTTAAGCTCCTGGCTGTACAAATTGGGGTTTATCTACTAAAGCTAGTTCACTCAGAATCTCATGCACCTGTGAATGGTAGCCAATCAGCTTCTAACCTCAGCTTGTTCAATTCAGCTTTAGCAATACAACCTGTAAGCTGATTGGATTCTATGCAGAAGTGCACGAGATTCTGAGTGAACCAGCTTTAGTAAATAAACCCCACTGCATTGTGATCTTACATCCAAGCCATTCCAGTGCAGCATTTGAAGAAAATCTGGGGGTCCTACAAAAAGTCACCACAGCCATGATTTGCACTGCATGAGAAATCTGAAAGCGGGAGGATATCAGATTGGTGGCTGAAGGATAGGTGTACATTACTTTAGGTTCTCTGTATTCTTGCCATTTTCCATTCTTGGTTTTCTTTCAACGCAACAGTCAAAATCAAGCAAAATAAGCCCCCTTTGTGTCCAGCTGTACCTGCAGAACAGGTGTGTAGTCTCCTAGCAAGTTTGATACCATAAAGACAGCACGTGGTACGTGACCTTACATCACACCGCCAAAGTCTCACAGGAAACTGCAAGCCGCTACCATTTGTAGCCCATCACAAAGGAACAGGCTAAGTAACGTACACAGGCAATTTGAGAAATACTGAAGTGTGCATCAATGCAAGATAGAGAGGATGAAAGCTTTTAGTCAAGGATAACTTTGTTGAAATTAAGAAATGTTTTAGGGTCTATGCTAACTCATCTACAGGTGTACCTCAGTTTATGAACACATCGGTAAACGTAATTTTCAGTTTACGAATGAAAATCCATTGAAAATAACGCCTTGGTTTATGAATTAAATTTTTTTACGAAGTGTATGTCATTGACGATTTTTAAATGCAATTGCCTGCTTTTTTTTTCTTCCCTAGCTCACAGAATTAGCTGTCACTCTCCCTGGAGCTAAAGGATACTTTGTTTCTTTTATCTCGGGAAACAAACTAAAAGGAAACATTGTTTCTTTTCACTTGGGGAAATAAAGTAAAAGGAAACTTTCTTTCTTTTAGCTGGGGGGAGAGTGACAGCTGATTTTCTGAGCTATAGTGAAGAAAAAAAAAAAGCTGGTAATTACATTTAAAAACCGGCACTGACCTATAGTGACAGCGACTTTTTAAAACTTTGTTCTGACCTCCGGATTAATCTCTGGATTAATCGGTTTTCAATGCATTCCTGTGGGAAACCGCGTTTCAGTTTATGAATCTTTCGCAAAATGAAATGTCCAGGAGAACGCATTCAATTCGTAAACCGAGGTACACCTGTATTTTCCATCAGCAAAACAGATGAATTTTACTGCATGAAAAGCATTTTAAATGCAATTCCAATTCTTTCCCACGAGGGAATGCTCATGTCTGTGACCTGCAAGTTAGTGTGCTTTAAAAAGGTAACTAACACCCCATTCACAACTACATGTGCATTACCACATACATTGTAATGTGCGTGTTTTAAGTTGTGAATGGGGGCCAAGGTTGAAAGCCTTATAATATGTGATCTTACATTAGTATTATTATTGTTATATGGGATTTATATAGCGGCAACAGTTTGCACTTTACAAACCCACTGGATCCCAAAACTTCACTTTTATTACAATGTTAAATAAAAATAACCTTTTGCAACTCTTCCGGCTTAAAATGAGTGTTACCAACAAAAAGTACATAAGTGGAATTACATAATCAGTCCATCACATTTACCTTCAAACTGGAACTTTTATTTCCTATTACACTAATGTCAGCCCTAATGAACCTTCTTGTATCCATAATCTTCTGTATAGTCCAAATAAATGAATAGATCTCCGAGAAAATATCAAATCAGCAAAGTGCCAACAAAACCCAAAGTCCCATAACCTAAACATGTTTCGCTATAACTGTCTTCTTTAGGGGTGAAATGAGTGCATTGTGTGAAAAACTGTGACCAAGAAAATCCACATGTATAATGAAATATTAAAATATATAATTACTAAATAATAAAAAGTCAGCAACATAACTTTTAAATGGAGCGAGAAATTTAGCAGCATGTGGCTGCTATATTTACATACATATATTAAAAGTAAATAAAATCCAGGCCTGTGGATGTAGTATACCTGGATTCAGCAAAACAATTTGATAAAGTCCCCCATAAACGCTTAATTTACAAACTGAGGTCTGTAGGCATGGACCATAGAGTTTGTACATGGATAGAAAAACGGTTACAGGGGTGCGTCCAAAGGGTGGTGATAAAGAGCATGTACTCGGACTGGTCTGGAGTGGTAAGTGGGGTACACCGGGCTCTGTCCTGGGGCCAATTGTATTTAATATATTCATAAATGATATAGAGGTCGGTATAAACTGCTCAATCTCAGTGTTTGCTGATGGTACAAAGCTAAGCAGGGCTATAACTTCACAGCACGATATAGAAACTTTACAAGAAGACCTCAATAAAATAAAAAAAGTGCGGAACTACATGGCAAATAAGGTATAATGTTGAAAAATGTAAAATAATGCACTTGGGGGCTAAAAATATGAAAGCAAGTTACTCACTAGGAAAAGAACCTCTGGGGGAGTCCAGGATGGAAAAAGATCTAGAGGTACTAATGGATGACAGGCAATGGCAAGCTGCAGCAAGCAAAGCTGGCAGAATATTAGCATGTCCAAAAGATGCCATTCAGGTCTGGTCACCAATCCTCAGGAAGCATGTGCCGGAACTGGAGAGAGAGCTCTTTTTGGCTGTACTTCTCCTGTGGTCCATTCTGCACTCCTGTGATCTGTTTTCAGCTGAAACCCGCTGTCGGCTGACGTCACTCAGCTGGTCCAGGCTGGGAAAAATACTGACTTTGAAGTCTACTTCTCTTTTAATAAGGGGACTGGAGGATATCAGTTACAAGGAACAACTAGAAACATTAAACGTATTCTTCCTGGAGAAGAGACGCTTGAGAGGATATGATAGCGATATACAAATAAACTCAATAGTGATTCTAGCATAGGAAATAAACTATTCAGTATCAGGGAGTATAAGAAACATGAGGTCACTCAATTAAATTGGAGGAGAAGCGGTTTAGGCCTTAAACTGCATAGGGAGTTTTTCACTGTCAGGACAGTAAGGATGTGGAACTCACTTCCACAATTGGAGGTGTCAGCGGGAAGTATTGATAGTTTCAAAAACTCTAAGATGGACATGTTAGTGAACACAATATACAGGGATATGGGATATGATTTTTGACATGAGCACACACACACCCACACAGGTTGAACTGGGTAGACTGGTGTCTTTATTCAACCTTACAATGTACCTACAGTGTGTCATTTTCTAAAAGTGCTTCCCTGTATTCAGTAAGGGCTAATTTACATTTGCACTAGACCTTTGAAGAGTGATTTGTGGTGGACCACTTTTCAGAGGGTATTTGATGGATGGCAAGGAGCCATTATGTTCTTACCTCTCTGCCTATTTTAAACCCCTAAAAGCCAACAGCACCACACTGCAACAGTGGCGGGGCAGCAGGGCCCCGTTCACTTGAAAAGAGGTCGCATTCAGCGGGTGGTGTTACCCACCAAAACGACAGCTGGGATAATTTTTGTTGCACCATAATGTGGCATGTGTATACCCTTGTACAGCTGCCTTTGCAGCTTAGGGAGAAAGGTAAAAACGCAGCTCAACTGTGTGTTTTTTACAGCTCCACAACTGCAAGAATAAACTAAGCCTTAATCTATTTCTGATACAACAGGTAATAAATGGGATTATAAACAAATCACAGCACAGTAGTCATACTTCAACAGAAATATGAACATTTATAGATACATATTTTTTTAATAGATGTGTAGAGCCCTCCTAGTTAGGTTGCTAGGTTAATTTAGTTTTTGGCTTGTTCTGTAGCTAGAGGATCAGTGACTGTTTGGTCTGGTCTGTTCAGAACTTCACAGGTTGGGAGTTTGGTGGTTTCCCCCTGCCTCTAGAGAGAGTTTCTAGAGCTCAGGGAGGAAGAATTCAAATGCCAGAATATTGAGCAGAACCTACATAAACCCTGGGAAGGTGTGCCTAGGTACGTCTTATTGAGCAGGCAGCCCTGGGCATTGCCCAGGGGCACCAGGTGCTCATGGGGCCCCATCAGGGCCAGCTCTGTCCCAACAGTTTATTTAGGGGGATGTGGCAGGCCGGCAGTGCTGAGGTCAGGTGGAAGGAAGGATGGTGACTGCAGTCTCTGGCTCTGCACAAGGCATAGATAACTTAGCACTAGCAGCGGGGCTTGGGAGTTGGGCTGAGCTGGCATCGGTCCTGCAGGCAGCGGAACCTTCTGTTTTGCCTGCCAGCTGGGCAGTCACTTGTCCTGAGCCTCCCTGAGTGAATGCTTATTGCCAAATATCGGCGGCTCTAACTCCATGGTCATTAAAAATGGGTGGAACATGTAACATGTTCCCAAAGGTGAAATTATCCTACTGTTTGTTATTGAATATGTTTTATAGCAGAAAGTAAAAAATATTGTTTTTTTTCCCCCCAAAATATACAGTCTTTTTTCATTTATATAATATAAAATAAAAAAATCCAGTTGTGATCAAATACCACCAAAAGAAAGCTCTCTTTGTGTGAAAAAAGTGATATAAATTTTATTTGGATACAGTGTTGCATGACCACGCAATTGTCAGTTAAAGTAGTGCAGTGCAGTAGCAAAAAATGGCCTAGTCATGAAGGGTCTTCCGGAACTCAAGTAGTTAAAAAGACAAATCCTAGACTGTTCAATGATCTGGAGTGAATTGAATGTTGTTGTGTGCCTGGCTGCCTTTGCACTGCTTGGGAAAGGACTTGTCTAATCTCATCGGCCCCTCCGGGGGTAGCGCTACAGATTAGTATGATTGCCTGGTATATATGATACTGATGAGAGATCAACAGAAAATATTCAGACTGACCTATAGGCTTTACACATGTCTGTTCAGTGCTAATATTTCATGCTTAGGCTAGTAAGTTCATTTTTTAGGAAGATGCCAAGATTATTAATTAGCATGAGCAATGTTTGAAATTCCAGAGGGTCTGGCTTTTCACAGAAATGAAACAAGAGCATTGAAAGCCGCCCCTAGAAGCCCTCTATCATTACTTCCAGCTCACAGTCATCCAAGGCCCTTTAGCTCAGCACGCAGATATTATTCTTCCTGTATATTAAAATACCTTGTTAGATTTCACCACAAAAGAGCAAGGAAATCATTCTGATTACAATTTTGAGCGATTAAATACACTGAAGGCTATAATTCTCGCAGTGAACGGTTATGTACAGACACCGTAGTGAAAATGTACCCTCTAATATAAACCTATTACACACCCGGCAAGAAAACCTGCTTATCTACATGTTGTGTCTGTAGATGCAAAGGTTTCACCACTACAATACCAGCTATTTTTACCTCCTTCCTGCCCAGACCAATTTTCAACGTTCTCACACTCTGAATGAAAATTGCTCATGCGACACTGAACCCAAACTAAGTTTTTATTATTTTTGTTCACACTAGAGCTTTCTTTTGGTGGTATTTATTCAGCACTGGGTTTGTTTTTTTATTTGCTAAATTAACAAAAAAAAGACTAAAAATTTTGAAAAAAAAAAACACGTTTTTTCTTTGTTTCTGTTATAAAATTTTGCAAATAAATAATTGTTCTTCATAAATTAGGCCAAAATATATTCTGCTATATGATGGTGAAAAAATACCTTTGGTACACAGATCTGTCATTGGTTGTGTCCGAGGTACGTAGCCGGTGACAGATCTTGCCATACCACGCCCCTCGGGGGCCCGTGCGAGGTGCAACCTGGAAGGACGTTATATGATGCCCACCCAGATCTACATCATTTTGCTATTGGCTGGGCGGGAACAGGTTAAAGAAGAACTCTGGTGTACCTGAAAATTCAGATATAGTTTTAAAATTAACTACTTGACCTCCAGACATTTTTACCCCCCTTATCACCAGGGAATTTTATTTCTATTCAGCACTGTGCTGCTTTAACTGACAATTTTGTGGCCATGCAACACCGTATGCAAATAAAATTTATATCTTTTTTTCACACAAATAGAGCTTTCTTTTGGTGGTAATTGATCACCACTGGGAAAAAAATAACAAAAATGTTGAACCCCCCCCCCCCCCCCCCCTCCCCACACACACACACACACATTTCTCTTAGTTTCTGTTCTAAAATTTTGCAAACAAATAATCTTTCTTAATAAATTTAAACCAAACTGTATTCTGCTACATTTCTTTGGTATAAATAACCAAAATCAGTGTATATTATTGAGTCTGTGTGAAAGTTATAGCGTCCACAAAGTATGGTATATATTGGAAAATGGATCAATGCTGATGTGCTGACGGCTCATTTCTTGAGGCCCTTAACTGCCAGGACAGTAAAAATACCCAAATGACTTCTTTTTGGAAATTAGACAGTCCAATATAATTGGAGGTATGGTGAGTTACTTGAAGTTGTAATTTTTTGTCACAATTTTTTGGAAAATTAAGAAATTAAACAAAATGTGTTTTTTTCACATTATCTTTTTCATACTGTCACCAGTGCAGTACAGCATTATCATATGACTGGTGTGGCAGTGATCAAGGATAATGACTTGTAAAACTATGTAAAAAAAATGTTATTACATTTTTAAACATTTTTTTCTTTTTTTGCATACTTTCACCAGAGTAGTACTACTCTGGGGGGGTGATCAGAGATATTTTTTTTTACACGTTTATTGCTTATAACAATGATGAGCAATAGTTTTAGATGTCATGAATGGCTTTCCAGTCATGACAGCTTGCTACCATTGAATTGACATGTGAATCACATGGTACAGGTAGCCAAGTACCACGTAATATTTGTAGGCCAATCACAGCATCTCAACAGTAATCAAGCTGTCATGAATGGAAAGCCATTTATAACAGTTTGCTCACATAAATATCATGTGATCACTAAGACTGGTCATAGCGATCAAATGATACCCCAGCCGCTCATAGTGGCTAGGTACCAAGCGGCATGATCCGCTGTGTCACGTGATTGCCCCAGCGGGCACGCCAGTGCACGTGTGCCAGGCGACATTCCAGTATGTTGCTTTGTCTGGCTGTGCCACCCACCCGCAGTAAAATTACTGTGGGTGGGAAGCAGTTAAGAACTGTTGCAAACCACAAATAATATTAAATACAATGGAGGGGCATTAATAAAGAATGGTGCAAGCACCATGCTTGCACCACTCTGCTAAACCCAAAAATGGAGCAGATGCTGCTCCTAATTAACAAAGGGCTAAAGACAGTTTTCCATCTATTAGTAAATTAATGTACATACTATACATCAGGATACTATTATTACCTCAGTCGGCAAATAAATGAACGACGGGATCCCATACACATTCGCATTGAGGATTGTTGCCCTTCTTTCTTCACCGTACCGGTTTTCAAGTCCAAAATCCGCCCTGAGAAAAAAAAAAATGGAATGATTCATTTTACCTTTCAGTTTCTTATTAAATTAACATTTTCATCAAGCTGGCTTTTAAAGGATACTCAAATTTCTGTTAATAAGTTAATGCAGGAAAATTAACATTTCCTAGACCTATGACGTTTATAGCGTCTGAAATGTTTTCTAACGATCTGCCTGCTCCCTTGCAAAAATGTATTTTAGTGGTGACTTTAAACTTTTTATGCCAGCACATTAATAGATGTGATGCAGTCTATCAACTCTCATTATCCATTAATCACATCTCCAACTGCCTACACCCATGCCTCATGGGTGGTGAGGAAAATGCCATTGTTCTGGCCCACCCTTTTCCTCTTTGTCTGATAATGGAATGTATGCCAATGTATCACACAACGGTGACAGAAAAATAATGTCTTGTTCTGGCACTGTGCACACAGTCAGTACAGATATACACAAACAGAGATGAATGGTTGGTCAATTTTAAATATTACATATTGCAACTTGCATTGTTGATTCTTGCTAGCAGGTAGAGGTTGTGGTTCCTTTTCATGTGTCTCCCTTTCTTGTCTCTTAAAGGAAACACTCTTTACACAGCTCATAAACTCAAGCTGAGCTTGACACAAACACACAAATAAATCAGAAAAGTGACTTATTCCCATCAGGCAGTTCAATCTCAGGTTTTAATCAGACCATGCAAGCCTCCAGGCATGCAGCTACAGCTGTTTAATAGTGATTTAGTTTTGCTTTGTTACATAGTTACGTAGTTAGTCTGGCTGAAAAAAGACAAAAGTCCATCCAGGTCAACCATAGAAAAAAAAAAAAAAGTATAATCCTATACCCACAATTGATCCAAAGGAAGGCAACCCCCCCCCCCCCCCCCCCAGCAAAGCACAAACCAATTTGCTCCTGCTGGGAACAAAATTCATTCCTGATCTCCCGAGAGGCAATCAGATATTCCCTGGATCAACTGTCTAAGTCCCGCTAATGCTATTCTGCTGTCCAGTGAGAGTGTGTTTCCTGACCGCTGACGCATTCTCACTAGATAAGGAAAGGACAAAAGACAGGGTTTAGAAATGACATCAGAGGAAGTCAAGCCCCAGCTTACCAAAAGGAAATCAAAGAGAGGCAAATAAGTTGTTTTTCTGGGTAGTAAGGTTGATAGCAGGCATTTTGTTGTATCTGCCTGTAGGCAGAACTTTTATTCCACAATTTAGAAATGTAGCACAGGTTTAAGGATAATAATATGGAGAAACACCACTACTAAGTTCATTTTTACTTAGGAAGCTCAAGTCTGTCCTCCTAAATGTAATTCAACAAATCCTGAAAAAAACACATCTTTTTATTAAGGTGTACATTCAGATCAGGGGCGGACTGACCATTCGGGTACTCGGGCACTGCCCGAGGGCCCCATGAGATGCCACTGATACCTTTCATAGGCTTTTTTTGGGTGTGGTTTGTGTGGGTGAGGACACAGGGTCCCCATTAACCCCTATTGCCCGGGGGCTCCATAGGTTGTCAGTCCGCCCCTGATTCAGATCCATCTACTTGCCATTAAACAGAAATGCAAAACTACTCGCAATTCAGATCAAGGCCTGGATTTGTATAAAAGTTATATGGCCCAGTGTGGTAACGTTTTAGAGAATGCTACCTATTTCATTACATTAAATAGAATTTGGGTTCCCTGGCAATATCAAACATTGTTTGCATGAACAGAACATGCTAGCTTAGGCTGTAATATACTGTAGTAGCTTGTGCTATGTACAGTAATTGGCACAGTGTTCTGGTAGCAGTATCAGAGGCTTCTCTTCCACGCCCGGATATAAAAAAAGAGTTGCCTGTGCTGCAGCACCACCATTTAAGAGAAGCATTGTATTTTTTCTAATGAAAACAAGGTTACTTTGGCAGAGGTGGAGGTCATAACATCATCTGCCTCGGTCAATGAAAAAAATATAAGACTTCTCCTAAATGGCAGGGATGCTGTACAACTGAAAGTACTGTGGAAGTCTCTGGTACTGCTGTGCTTCTTACTGTACTGTTTCTGCTGAAGGAGCCTGCTGATGGGTGAAAAGGCTGACTGCTAAAAGAACATAGAAAACAGTACCAGAGCCACCATTTTGTTTTGGAAAACCAATTAGGGGGCACTCTATTAGGAGCAGACTTGAGGTTAGCTAGTGGCTTGGAAGAGCAGATGTTTTGTTTTATGTTCTGGACTTGCTATACTGAATAAAAGAGCAGGACCTGCTTGGACTGTTCCTAGATGTCCTTGTGTCATCCATGGTTTACTGCTGCCAATACCTGTGTCCCCTATACCTGTTATTGCTTAATACACAACGCTGACACTATATAAATAAGGATTGATAATGACAACTGTTGTTCAATGCCTATAACTGAGCCCTTTTCCATTAGACCTTACTGATATTAAATGAATTGCTTATCAAAGAAAAAACATTTAAAGCCCACGCAAAATTTCAGTTTAAATTAACTAAATGCTGTATTAAAACAAAAGGTCTGCAGAGTCATAGTTTTTGAAACTTCAAAAGGCAGCCACAGCCTGTGTAAAAATGCATGTCCCCAAAAACGCTTTGTGAAGAAGCAGTGATCTCTTTGCAGAGGTCTTACACACCCCCTGCTGAGTCAGACCTGGAGCTCCCCAATAAGTGGTTATCATAATGCTGATGGGTAGTATACGCTTTGCTGATTACAGAGCTTTAGATCTGATTAAGCAGGGGGCATGTTGGACCACTGCAATGAGACCACTGCTTTCCCACAGACAGCAAGGGTACCACTTTGCAGCTGCTGGCAAAAGCCAGGCTTTTCTGCTCAGGCTGTGACTGCTTAAGCAAAGAAAACAAACTCTAAGACAGTGGTCACCAAACTGGCCCATGGGTCGGATGTGGCCCTTTGCTTGCCCATATCTGGCCCTTGGGGCACCATTCTGTCTATTGACAATAACAATGGTGCACCAATCCATCCACTGACATCAATGATGGGGTACATTCCATAGACTGATGCCAGTCAAAGGGTACCATTCCTTCCACTGACACCAATGATGGAGCATCATTCTTCCCACTAACAAAAATGATGGAACCCTGTTCCTCTCACTAACACAAGGGTCACTATTCCTCCGATTAAAACCAAGGATGGGGCATTGTTTACATCCACTGACGCCGGGCATTTTCTACTCCCACTGGCCATAGTCTGGCCCCCCCTAAAGCCTAAAGGACAGTAAACGGGCACTTTGTTTAAAACGTTTGGAGACCCCTGCTCTAAGACATCGAAAGCCTTTTGTTTTAATGCATTCGTAAGGTATATAGTTAATATTTAAACTAAAGGTTTAAATAGACTTTAACATACATGAATAAAGTCACTTTAGACTGTAATGTTTTTTTCTCATCTTCCTGGTTGATGGTATACACAGACATCTGATTTTATCTGGTCTTTCAGTAGCAGAATAAAGGATGGGAATTCTCCTACATGTTTTGTTAATTAATTAGACTGTGGTTATAAAACCAGAACTGTGTGTGACATATGGCTTGGATGAGCCCTAGCCAGGTTTTTCCTGTTATGAGCAGTGCTGGTTAGAAGAACATGTGTCTGGCATAATACAACCAACTGTGACAGATTATCTGGGTTCAGAGGACAGTCACTATAAGCCTATTGCAGGATAGAACAGATAAAACAGATAGATTGGACAACAAGTAACAAGGATAACCTCGATCCTGAAGAACGTAAGGCACTCAATGAACTAAGGGAAGCTAAGCAACTCTTAATTAAGAGGAGTGATAAAGGAGGAAATGTTGTCTTGATGAGTGAGACACTTTATTTAAATGAAGTAAGACGTCAATTAGATGATTGTGTGACCTATAAACAAGTAGACACTAACCCCTTCCCAGCCCTGGTGGGCATGATTAATGACAAACTGAATATGGAAGTAGCCGTAATTACTAACCGTGAATTTAACTATCTTAAGGTTCGAGACTATAAGATACCGAAGGTACATAAGAGCTTAATAATGGTAGAAGTCTTATGTTCAACCAAACAAAACCAAATAAAAACCTAAAAAACTACCAATACAATAAAAAAAGATAAAAAAAGCAGCATGCACCCATAAACTGTTCCACCACTAAAAAAAATAATAAAAATAGTGCTGCACTAACAAGTATTAATGATAAACTCGATACATATAAAAAAAAAAAAAAAAAAAATATATATATATATATATATATATAAATAAAACGTCCTCATGCAATCAACAAATATATATAGTAACAGTGTATATTCCACTAAAATATCTAGTGTGGATGAGGTCCACATATAGAGAAAAACCTTAACACGGGTTATATAGCATATTGGACCAATAATAAACAGTGAAATATATATAAGATGAGAATCATATAGCATCAATGCAGTGCAAAATACCAGTCCATAAGGTGAATAGCAGAAAATAAACTGTGACTCTTCTCCTTTACTGTGCTTGTGTGATATCCACCAGTACCAGGCATGCAAGCTCACCTCATAAATTTACCCACATCACATATTTCAAAAACATCAGTAATCCTCGATACACCCTGGTCAATTGGAGCTCAACAACACTGAGAACCATATAGCAGATGTCACACATAAGTGAACAAGAGAGAGGGGATCTCCTAGTGCAGTAGAGTTAATTTTATTTAAAAAAAACCATCAGAAATGCAAGAAATACACTCACACGGGAAAAGGGCTGCAAATGCCCTCAAACAGCATGGTATTTTGGAAACTAAAATGGCGGAGACTGCGGCCACAACCGGAAATGATGTCACCACGCTTCCGTCAGACGCATTGCATCACACATCACATGACTTCATCTCTCTTGTTCACTTATGTATGACAAAAATGGGATTCCAGTGGGACAATTTCTCCACATTAAATGGAACTGTACTGTAAGGATATAGTATCCAACACAGTGGTAACTGTGAGAATAAATACAACGCTCCCAACTGCCACGTCCTATTCAAACTATTGGGAAAGAAAGAGGTCCACTGAGTGGACTTTATGGGCACTACAACAGT